TCATGGACCTGGGACTCGCCAGCCTGCCAGCTTCCACCACTACTACTTGAGACGAACCCTTGGGTGTCTGTGAGTTCTGTGAGGCATTACAGCGAAGTACAGAACCCTAAGACTGGGGAAATTATTGGGAGGAGGAGGAGGAGTTAATGTCTGAAATGATGGAGTGGCATGGTAGTTTGGACATTTGGGACATCTTTGACCTCCGCCTCATGGGGACTGGCCTAGTGCTGATCTTTCTAAGAGAAATTGTTCAAGCAAGGTGGAAATTTAGGCTTTAAGGATGTTAACAATTAGGTTAAACTGATTTCCCAGAATCAAATAAAATTCTTAGCAGAGTCAGTCTTCTGGGATTTTTCAGTAAGAATTGTATGAAACCTACTGTCTTTTATTTGTTTGTTTGGGTGAACTTAATTTATTCTGCCGGCTAGGGACAAAGTCTTATTTAAATATACTAGTGTCTCTAATAGGAGTTCTAGTAGCATAGTGCCTAAGACATTTGACTGCTAACCAGAAGGCTGGTGGTTCAAACCCACCAGCCACTCCTCAGAAGGAAGGTTGGACAATCTAATTCCATAGTGATACTGCCTCGGTAACCCAAGGAGGGGTCACTATGAGTTGGGTCCAACTCGACAGCACATAACAACAACAACAACACATCTCTTTAATTGGAAAGTATTCGAAGTGTCACTGAGTTTTCGTTTTTTGTTTTTTGTTTTTGTCTTTGCTCAGGTGATGCTAGCTAGAAGGTATATCTTCCCCTAAATCTCACAAAACAAGTCAGGAGCTCTCACCGTCCCCTATGAAGGGACATAACTTATTTTCTTGCAAGATTTGGTGATTCTCACCTGTCTTAATTCTCTAGTGCTGCTACAAGAGAAATAGCACAAGTGGATGACTTTAACAGTGAAAGAGGGTATAAGTCCAAATTCAGAGTGTCGGCTCTGGCTCTAGGGGCTGGGTAAAGGACCCTTGACCTTGAGCTTCAGCTCTGCCTCTTGTTCCAGACCCACTAAAGCCAGAGGCTTCTTCTGACTCACACAGCCACTAGCTGCTGAGGCTGATGAACCCAAAATCAGCAGGCATCATGGCAGGAGTGTGCCAAAAAGCTCAAGACCTTTCCCAAACCATATCCATATATACTGGATGCAGGCCACACTACAAAGCTAACTCCTCCTCAACTATTTAGCTGCTAACAGCTGATTCCACCATGGAGGTGGTTATAATAAATCTCATGGGGAATACCCATATCCAGTTGCCTAGCCACTCAAACCCGTGGCCCACTACACCAAGTTGACACACAATCTTAACTACCACATCATCCATACATGCACTGAATATAAAAGTGGAGCACTGTTCTCAATTGTCTGATAGACAAAAAGCCATTCAGGGCACTACTTTCAGTTTTCTCTGAGTCACAAAAACCTAGAGAGAAATACCACAGGATATGGGCAATATTTTACTTAGACCAGTGTGTTCCTTTGTTGTGCTGGAGTTATTGCTTAGTGCTCTGGCCTGTCACAGGAATATTTTACACTCATAAGGAACAGCAGTGACCACCCTACTGGTTTTTACTGATCAACCCATGCCCGAATTTTGAAGCTTATAGTAACCCACAGCTCTTTGAAAGTAGAATTACCTCTAGCTGCTGAAGCTTCCAAAAACCAAATGCACTGCCGTTGAGTCAGATCCAACTCATAGCAACCCCTCCTTGGGTTTCTGAAGTGGTATCGCTGCAGAAGTAGATTAGCCAACCTTCCTTCCAAGGAGTGGCTGGTGGGTTTGAACTGCCAGCCTTCTGGTTAGCAGTCAAATGCCTTAGGCACTTCACTACCAGAGCTCTCTGCTGAAGCTTGTTGTTGTTGTGTGCCATCCAGTCAGCTCCAACTCATAGCGACCCCTCCTTGGGTTGCTGAGGCAGTATCACTATGGAAGTAGATTGCCCAACCTTCCTTCCGAGGAGTGGCTGATGGGTTTGAATCACTAGCCTTCTGGTTAGCAGTCAAGTGCTTTTAGCCACTATGCTACCAGAGCTCCTTGCTGAAGCTTAGAGGAGTAGAAATCTCTAGTTAGACAAAATTGTGCACCAATCCTAGGAGAAATTAAAGAGAAAATAGATTCAGACAAAAATGAAAGAGGAAGTAATCCTCAGTAAAGCTCAGAGAACTCAGCAAAGAGAGCAGAGTTCAGATCCTGGAGGGGGGCTTACCTGAGATGACACCCAAGAGGTCTGGGGAAGTGATGAGCTAAGAGGCTCTTCCTGGTACCAGAGCCTGAGTTCTTGATCATTCTAGCAGGCATCCTTCAGCCCACTTCTGATGCCAAGAATTATCGTACTGGAAAAATTACAGTTTGGTTGAAATTAAAAGTAAAGAGCTTTTATTGAGGGGTTAGACAATTTGCAAGTTTGGAATCACAAACTCCAGAGGATTCTGAACTGTTTCTAAATTTTTTTTCTTTTAATTAGAAAGTAATAATTTTATTGAGTACATCTAGCCTCAAAACAACCATGAGACTCCTCCTTGTGTGACTGTGGGGAGGACAGGCATAATTTTGAAGTGTGTTTTGAGTAAGCATTTGTTCTGAGAATCCTTTTGGACTTGGTTTCTTGGACAGCAAACAAAACTTGTGCATTGTTTTCTGAAAGTGTTTACCATGTACTTTTCTCAGTGTCCAGTGGAGTATTACAGGATCGACAGGCGTATTCTGATGCAGAGGTTACTTTTGATTCAAAATGGAGTTTTAGCCTCAGACTTTAAGATAGCCACCATCTCATGTCAGGAGTCCTAAGTTAATTTGGGACTTAATTAATTTGCTGTTACTCAAAAGATAGAGGCCAAAACAAACCAATAGAAAAGGCAGTTCAGAAGTAAAAGACTATTCTGATTAATAAGAAAATATTTAATAAGAGCAGAATAATATAAAAAGAACATTAGAAAATGAAAAAGAACTTTTGAAAATGAAAGACTTTATAGCAGAAAAGGAAAAATAGATTGGTAGAAAAATCAAAATGAGCCCTGATAATGCATTGATTAAAGTCCTTGGCTACTACCAAAAGGTTGGCAGTTCAAACCCACCAGCTGCTCTGAGAGAAAATACCTGGCAATCTGCTCCAGTAAAGATTATACAGCCTAGGAACCCTACTGGGCAATTCTACTCAGTTTTATAGGGTTGCTGAGTTGTAATTGATTCCATGGTACACAACAACAGAAAAATAAGATGATCTTTTCAAAAGTAGAACAAACAGAAGAAGAGATGGAAAATAGGTTAAATATGAAAATGTAGGCCAGTTCTAGGAGGATTACAAAGAGGGATGTAAATGATTACCTAAAAAATTCAAGGATTTTTTTTTTAATTCCCCAGAATTAAAGGACATGAGCTTCTAGACTAAAATAGCCCTACTAAGTGGGTGCAAATAGATCCAAAATAAGACATAGAATAGTGAAATTGCAATAACTAGAGAAAAAGAAAAGCTTCTAGGGAAGAAATAAGAAGTTACATAGAACTTTTCTTCAAAATTGTGAGAGAAAATGGTTTCTAAGTATGAACTCTATACCTAGCAAAACTAAAATTAAGGATGGTTTTTGCCATAGAGTTGACTCCAACTCATGACAACCCTGTATAACAGAGTAGAACTACCTCCATAGGGTTTCCTAGGCTGTGCTCTTTACAGAAGTAGCTTGCTACATCTTTCTCCCTCTAATCAAGGATAGAAAACAGTACAATGACATTTTCACACATGCAAAGTTGCTAAAAACAACTTTTCCCAACACCCTTTCTTAAGATGTTGCTAGTGTTTGCCTCACCAAAATGAAAGGGGCAAACATTAAATAAATGAAATGCCAGAATCCACAGAGAAGAAGAGGGAAATACCCAAGGTGATCAACAAGAGAGATCCCAGAACACTAGCTATGTACCAGGAGTAGAGAGCAGTTAGGTCAGAAGACTTCAGAAGAGCTTTCTCCAAGAAGATGGCCTTGATATAACATATAAGAAGAAAACGAGTGTTGTATGTCTGAATTGTATATGTAGAAATGGTTGAAGTGGTTTACTGTGCATATTCTCAACAACAAAAAAGAAATGAATGAAAAAAAATATTTCCTCGTGAAAAAAAAAAGTGGGTGTGGGTGTGTTGGAGAGTTGAAGAAGTTGGATGCTTATTTTCTATATACCAAATGAAACTCAAACCAATTGCCCTCAAGTAAGTTTCAATTCATGGAGAACCCTGTGTGTTATAGAATTGCTCTATAGAATTTTCTTTGTTGTAATTAACTGAAGCAGATTGCTAGCCCTTTCTTCCACAATATCATGGGTGGACTTGAACTGCCAACCCTTGGGTTAGTATTCTAGTACAAACTATTTTTAACACTCAGGGTCCTCTACACTACCTAAAAATGAAAGAGCAAGAAGATGCAAAGCAAGCATGCTATTTAAGTTTTAGAGAGAGATCTTCAATTTCACCTAAAAGAGTTAAAGATGCTTACTCTCTTGGAGAATAGAGACTATGGGTTTTATAACAAACCTTGTTGAGTGAGCTGACTCTTTAAACTGTGTGCATTATAACTTTATAACACTGATAAAAATAAAAACTAAAATTTTAAAAGAAAATTAAAAATTGGAGATTATGTGAGCTGAGAGAAAGGAATTACAAGCTTACGAAAGTTTATACTGTGGAATGCCTGCTTATCTTTTTGCCTTCCTTTTTGAAAACGTAAACCCCTCTTCTCTAACAGTAAGTTATATGTAATACAGTTTATTTAACACTCTATCCTAACATGTACTATTAAGTATACGGCTACCACCAGACTCATTGAAAAGTAAGTTTATCTTTGGCTTTTCCTTGGATGTTAAAATATTTTTAAAAGGATATTGCTAAGGGTGGGTTGTTGCTGTTTTCATCTAGTCATCAGTAGAATTGTAGTGCCCTTAAATGACAACGTTGAAATATTTTTCATGTAGGCATTGGTGATATCTGCTTGTAAGGCAAAGGTGGCTACAGAACTATGAATGATACCAGAACTTCACTTGAAACTAAACAGTGTCCTGATACTGAGATACAAAAAAATCATATAGTAACTCTGGAAGAATGGCAAGAAAAGTGGGTGACCCACAGGATTGCATTTCATCAAAAAGAAGGACATCAGTAAGAACCGTTTGGTTTATAACAAGAGAAATGTTCTATCAAAAGCTGACTTTGGTAATAGAAGTAATTTTTAGCTGATTTTAAGATGTACATCCTTTCCCCTCCCCCACCAAACACACACACACACACACACACACACACACACTCTAGCACCTCTGAAATCAGAGGCATGTCATAGTTAAGTTGGCAGTGTTTTTTTTTTTTTTTTAATCTCCTTCCCATTGTGTGTAAATGATGATGTGACTTAGCAATTGCTGGCATCTCAGACTTATAAGATACATCTTTGGTTTAGTCCCCTGCAGCATCTATATATTAACCATGCATATTTATACATGCTGCAGATATAATTACTAATCAAGAAAGCCTTGGGTTGAATCAGTTTTACCGCTTGCTAGCTATATGACTTTAAGTTATTTAACTTTCCTGTTTCTTCGTCTATGAACTAGAGATTACAATAATTAATATTCTCTACTTCAGGGTTGTTGGAATATTAAGTGACATCATACATGAAAAGTACTGAGCACCATGTTATCATAGACTTTTCCTGTGTGCTCTGGGTTTATTAACAAAAAAAAGCAAACACCTTTCTTTTCTTCTTTTCTCCCAGGCTATTAAAGAAGCATTTGGATACTTTCCTTAATGGTGGAAGTAGACTCAGGATATTTTTCCCTCTCTGTGGAAAAGCAGTTGAGATGAAATGGTATGAGCAGATAAGTACTAATACACTTTCTGGCCTTAATCATGAATTACTTGGGTGAACATTTAACAGAATACAAGTTAAGAAGTTCCATGCTGAGGAATTACATGGGATTCTTTATTTTTAGTAGCGTAATGCCTAAGGCATTTGACTGCTAACCAGAAGGCTGGCAGTTCAAACCCACCAGCCACTCCTCAGAAGGAAGGTTGGGCAATCTACTCCCATAGTGATACCACCTGACAAACCCAAGGAGGGGTCGCTCTGAGTCAGATCTGACTCAACGGCAGTGAGTTTGGTTTTGTTTTTTGGTTTTATTACTGATTAAAGGGCCCTAGTGGCACAGTGGTTAAGTACTCGGCTGCTGACCAAAAGGTCAGTGTTTTAAACCCATCAGATGCTCCATGGGAGAAAGATGTGGCAGTCTGCTTCTATAGAGGTTTACAGCCTTGGAAACCCCATGGGTCAGTTCCACTCTGTCCTATAGTGTCGCTATGAGTCAGAATTGACTCAACAGCAAGAAGAGGAAATAAAAGGCACCTGTCTTGGCAAAGAAGAAGTAAAACTATCTCTATTTGCAGATTATATGATCCAATACACAAAAAATCCTAAAGACTCAATAAGAAAACTACTAGAACTATTAGAAGAATTCAGCAAAGTGGCAAGATACAAGCTCAAAAATCTGTCAGATTCCTCTATGCTAAAAAAGAGATCTCTGTAAAGGAAATCAGGAAAATAATACCATTTACAATAACTACCCAAAAGATGAAGTACTTAAGAATAAATCTAACCAGAAACACAAAAGACCTATATAAAGAATACTGTTGTTGTTGTTGTTGTTGTTGTTGTTATTATGTGCCATCGAGTCGGATCCGACTCATAGCAACCCCTCCTTGGGTTTCCAAGGCAGTATCACCATGGAAGTAGATTGCCCCAACTTCCTTCCGAGGAGTGGCTGATGGGTTTGAACAGCCAGCCTTCTGGTTAGCAGTCAAGTGTGTTAGGCCCCCATTAGAGAGATGCAAATCAACAATGAGATATCATGCTACCCCAACATTAGTAGCAAGTTCAGGGGGCAAAAAAAAAGAAAATGCTGACAAGGGTTTGGAGAGACTGCAACCCTTGTTCACTGCAGGTGGGAATGTAAAATGATACAACCACTATGGAATATGATATGGTGCTTTCTTAAAATGTTGGAAATAAAAATACCATGTGATCCAGCAATTCCACTGCTAGGTATATATCCTAGAGAAATAAGAGCATTGACATGAACAGATAAATGCACATCTCTGTTCATTGTAACATTATTCATAATAGCAAAAAGATGGGAACAACCTAAGTGCACATCAATGGATGAATAGATAAACTGTGGTACATACATACAGTGGAATGCTATGCAATGTTAAAGAGTAAAAATGAATCTACGAAACAACTTATAACATGGATGAACGAAGAAGATAGTATCTTGAGTGAAATTAGTCAATCACAAAAAGATAATATTTTATGAGACCATTACTATAAAAAGTCATGGTTTACCCACAGAAAGAACCATTCTTTGAAGGTTACCAGGGGTGGGAGAAGAAGGAAGGGTGAAATCACTAACTATTGGATGGTGGTGATGTTATTATTAGGTGCTGTCTGAGTCTACTCTCACTCACAGTAAACCTGTGTACAACAGAATGAAACGATGCCTGGTCTAGTGCCATCCTCAAAATTGTTGCTACGCTTGACCCTATTGTTGCAACCACTGTGTCAGTGTGTCTCATTGAGGGTCTTCCCATTTTTCACTGACCCTTTACTTTTCCAGGCATGATATCCTTCTCCAGGAATCAGTTCCTTCTGACAACAAGATCAAAGTATGTGATGAAATCTGCCCATTCGCTTCTATGGAGCGTTCCAGCTGTAATTTTTCCAAGAATTACAAATTTGTTAATTCTTCTGGCAGTCCATAGTATTTTCCTTCTAAAAGGGATCACAATAGCAGGTCCCAGATAGAGTGGGGAAAAAAATGTGGAACAAAACTCAAAATCAAAAAAAAAAAGACTAGGCTTACTGGTTTGATAGAGACTGGTGGAACTCCTGAGAATATGGCCCGTAGATACCTTTCATGTCTGAAACTGAACACACTCCCAGAAATCACCTTTCAGCCAAATAATAGACAAACCTCTAAAGTAAACAATACCAGGAAGGTACTCACCCATAAGAATAATCAACCATATGAGATAAGGGCAACATTTGCCCAGGGATGACAGGAGACAGTAAACACAGGGAGGAAGTGGTAAGTGTGCTGTTACATTGTGGGAATTGCAGTTAATGTCACAAAATAAAATGTATGAATTGTTGAGTAGAAAACCAATGTGCACTATAAACTTTCACCCAAGTCACACACATACACATACACAAAAGAATATTATAAAAATGGATGTTAATGTTATAGAGCTTTGCGTTGTAATTTAGTTGCTACTAGCCACATGTCACTAGTTCAATTTAAATGAATTAAAATTAAGAATGTAATTCCTCAGTCACATCAGCCACATCTCAAGTACTCAGTATGCAGTGTGCTTATTGGCTGCCATGCTGAACAATACAGACATAGACATGTCTGTCATCACAGAAAGTTCTATTGACCAGCACTGATTTAAAGAAACTGAAAAGCATTTCCAATCCAAACGTGTGTTTATATCACATCTAATCAAATTCTTTGTTATTAAAAAAGCACTTCAAGATAGAGGTTTCCATATTTTTTTTATTTTGGCTAAAATCATATAAAGCAGCCTTTCACAATCCCACATAACATGAGATTTGAGAATATATATTATTTTCCTGCATGTTCTGTGAAATTCCTTGAACCTGAATTCATATAAATTCCTTTCAGTTACAGAAAATGTGTGTTTATTTATCAGTACTATTTTTGAAATTAAAATGTAATTCAAGTATAAATATATGATTTTATGTAGGTTTGCAGACTTGGGACACACTGTTGTTGGTGTGGAAATCAGTGAACTTGGGATACAAGAATTTTTTACAGAGCAGAATCTCTCCTACTCAGAAGAACCAATCACCGAAATCCCTGGAGCCAAAGTATTTAAGGTTTGTTTGTTTTTTAATCCAGTGTTTCCCATTATTATTCTCAGCCTTCATAAATGAAGATATTAAATGTGTATCATCTGGCCCATCTTTATCATACATTCTTGCCTAGACATGTAAGATAGTGTAAGGAGTTAGCCTTAAAAAAAATGGATGATAGATTTGTAGATACATGTGTATATGAGAGTTCTAGTGGCGTAGTGCCTAAGATATTTGACTGCTAACCAGAAGGCTGGCGGTTCAAACTCACCAGCCACTCCTCAGAAGGAAGACTGGACAACCTACTTGCATAGAGATAACCACCTTGGAAACCCAAGGAGGGGTCTATATGAGTTGGATTCGACTTGATAGCAGTGAGAGTTTGGTTTTTTGGTATATATGTATATCTGGAGATCTACTTCCGTAGTGATACTGCCTCGGAAACCCAAGGAGAGGTTGCTATGAGTCGGGTCTGATTTGACGGCACATAGCAACACAACAACATACATTTGT